TGTGTGTGTGTGTGTGTGTGTGTTGTGTGTGTGTGTGTGTGTGTGTGTGTGTGAGGTAGGGACTGTGTGAGGGTTCTCTTGAGGGTGTCTGTGAAGGGGGATCACTGACAGACACACCAGGTGACAGTGGTCAGAACGCTGGAACCGCTGCGTTAGAGTCAGACAGGGAGGGTGTAAGGTCGAGACTCTGGGCCAGGAGGGAGGAGGCCCCGTGGAGAACAGGGTGTCTCTGAGATCTCAGGTCCCTGAGAACAGACAGCAGTCCCGAACCTCCGTGCATCTCAGCAGGGCGCTGGCAGACAGGGGTTTGAGAGGAGGGTCCACACAGGTCCAGTGGGACACCCAGGAATCAAGTCCAGGGCCGGACCAGCAGTGATGGGATGCTGTGGCGCTTTCCGTGTGAAGAGGGTGTTCAGAAATGGGGTTTTAGCGCATGAGAGTTGACTTGGAACCCCTGATAAGGCATGTAAGTTCCACCTCAGGACTGCTGCCAGGGTGTCATGGGAAACCCAGCAGCCCACCCACGGGGCCTCCTGGGCAGATTGGGACCCTGTGCAGGGAGTGACGGCCCCACAGGCCTCGCAGACCCGCGCTCGGACACACTGACGGTGTAGCAGCCCTGCCTCGGGCAAGCCTACCCATGCCGTTTGCAGCAGCGTGTGCACCCTTCGTGCTGTGCTGTATGTGTTCTGGGACCTCGCACAGTACTGCAGACCTTCCCATCATGCTCCTGGACTTGCGATAGACGGCTCCACAGCCAGGCCCGCGGCAGTGAGGCCCTCCGCCTCCTCCTGTCCACAGCCAGGCCCACAGCAGTGAGGCCATCCGCCTCGTGTCCGCAGCAGTGAGGCCCTCCGCCTCGTGTCCACAGCAGTGAGGCCCTCCACCTCCTGTCCACAGCAGTGAGACCCTCCGCCTCCTCGTGTCCGCAGCCAGGCCCGCGGCAGTGAGGCCCTCCGCCTCCTCGTGTCCACAGCAGTGAGGACCTCCTCCTCCTTGTGTCCACAGCCAGGCCCGCAGCAGTGAGGCCATCCGCCTCGGGGCCTCGGGCGTACAAGACTGCAAGTCTTCTGTCTCCTGTGGAGCAGCCGGGTCATTTGAACTGCTGACCTTTCAGTTAGCAGCCTGGTACATTATGCCCTGTACCAGCACGGCTCCTTTAAGAGACTAGGACATAGTGCAAACATGACCTTTAATATACAGACCGTTCATGTGAATTGCTTTACTGCGATCCTTGCTTTATGGTGGGGCCCGGAACTGAGTCCACAGTCGCTGTCATGAATTAGAAATGATTTACAAACGGGGAAATCCTGGGTCCACGGTGACTAGAGAAAGAAATGTCTGAGGAAGCAGGGTTCTTCTCTCAGACAGCAGGAAGAACACTGTTTGGGACCATCCACCAGTCTTTACTGGTCTGGATAGAAAGCTCCATGCAAACGAAATCTAGGGCAGAAAGTACAGTCAGAAGAAGGAAACGTGCATAGGCTTCAAGTTGAGGCCGTGGTGGCTTAGCGTGAGGGTAGCCTGGCCAGCTCACTGAACGGTGGTCTGGCCAGTGCACTGAAGGGCAGTGTGATCAGAGCACTGAAGGGCGATGTGGCCAGCGCACTGAAGGGTGGTGAGAGCAGTGCACTGAAAGGAGACCTGGCTAGCTCCCTGCAGGGCAGCCTGACCAGTGCGCTGAGGGGCAGTGTGTCCAGTGCGCTGAAGGGCAGCTGCCATTGCCTATCATTTGGGGTTTGTGTGGCTCTGTGATCCTGAGACAAGGAAGAAAGTCCTGGGGGTCCACCTCTGAAACATCAGCCTGTGGGACCATTTGGATCACCATGGTCCGATGTCCCCGCACTGAGGACCCCCAGAAGCCAGGGCCAGCTCAGCTGCAGACAGAAGGCACGCAGGTCCCTGAGAGCCGGGAGGTTTGCGGTGTAAGCATGGTGCTCGGTTATTGATTAAAGAAGGCACAGGATACCTCCAGGTCTGCGGGCCCGCGAACTTGTCACTGTCCTCGGAGAAGGCATTGCCTGTTTGTGTAGGAGCATCCAAGGATCGGTGTCAGGATTCTAGGCTCTGGTTTAAAGACTTAAATCTGCCCTCCACGGAGTGATGGGGGTTGCATGGTCAGCGCTCTCCCCCAGGCTGACGATGGGTGCCCGGCTGGGCAAGCAGGTTCCCGTGCCGTCAGCTGCCAGGCTTTGACCTGCAACTGTCTCAAGTTAGCGTCACTGAAAGGCCCCCAAAGTTCCTTCCGGGTGAGTGACTCCTGAGCTAGGTCACAGAAAAGTGCCACCCCATGGACAGGCCACCTGTCCCGCAGCCCTTTTGCATGCTGCTTAGGAAAGGCGCCAGATCTGGAGCGCCTATTCTCTGGAGGCTGTGGCCGAACCTGTGAACTTACAGAAGCGCCAGCCGCAGCCTGCAACTGCCCTATCACCAGGCCGGCTCCACTCTCTGCCAGTGGTTTTCACACCGTAGCCTGTGGTGGAACCAGTGAACTGACAGCAGCTGCCCGGTCATGACCTGTCCCTCGCAATAACGCTTCTCGCCCCTCTGCCCTCCGCAGTTCCTCCGGATCTGTGCCGACCTCTTCCGACTGGTCCCGTTCCTCGTCTTTGTGATAGTGCCCTTCATGGAGTTCCTGCTGCCTGTGGCCGTGAAGCTGTTCCCCAGCATGCTGCCGTCCACCTTTGAGACCCAGTCCGTCAAGGTGACAGAACATGCTTGCTGGCGGCCCCCGCCTTGTGTGGTGGCCCTTCTGGGGCCTCTGCCGGACGGGGATCATTGCAGAGGCCCATGCTCCCTGTCTGCCCCTCCTCCAGTGGGTTTTCAGTGTGGTCGCTCCAGGCCCCTGTATTCAACCATAGACTGAGACCAGGAGGGGGTGTGTAGCTGGCCCCCCGCCACCTTGTCTGTCATCTTCGGGGGGACGTGGCCATGTCTTTTCCTGCACAGCCGCTGAGTTAAGGAGCCGTGGGGAACTCTGGTCCTTTACGAAATGCTCGCCAGCTGAACCTTTCCACACGTACAGCTCTGTGACGCTGATTACGCACCGCGAGTTGTGGGCTGTTCTCAGGCCCCTTTCCTCGGCTGTCCTTTCCCCATTAACGCAGAGTCGCCGTCCCCTCGTGTTCCTGTCCATTCTGTCCAGAGGCCGCGGTCAGTGTGAACCCATGTAGGTAGTTCTTAAAAGAGCAGGACGCTCAAGGCCGACCTTGTTACTAGTTAAGTGCACTGGTGTTCGGTTTGCGGAAGACTTCGGGGACATTTCTGATCTAAGGTTTGAGGATTATCTCTGGATAGTAGTTAGAGCCTCCACGGTGCAGCAGGTGGAGTCTGTGGGGATTTGAGATCCTGTTCTTTCTCCCCTTTTGCTCAGATCTCTTTTATAGTCTTTGATCAGAATGTTCTGTAATAGTCGCCAGGCATCGTTTAGTTACTCGTGGTAAAGGAGGAGGCAGGTGTGACAGCCATTTTTTTAAGACAATAAGAGAAAATTTGAGAATACGGTGCTCCAGATGGGAGAGCGAGTGTGGCCCTGTGTCCTGACGTGTGCGCACACTTGTGTGTGTAAGTGTGTGTTGAGTGTGGGCCTGTGCTGTGCTTGTCTCCCCGAAGTGTGTGTGTGTGTGTGTGTGTGTGTTTGTGTGTTGAGTGTGGCCCTGTGCTGTGCACATCTCCCCGAAGTGCGTGTGTAAGTGTGTGTGGAGTGTGGCCCTGTGCTGTGCACGTCTCCCCGAAGTGCGTGTGTAAGTGGGTGCTGAGTTGAGATGGAAAGCATGCTTGTTATTGCGGGTTTAGGGGAAATGATTGAAGCCCGGCCCTGACATGTGCCCCACTGAGGACTGAGAACTCAGCGCTGTGGCTCCGGTGGCCCGAGGGGTGACATGGCACCAGGGACAGTGGGGGTGCTGGAGCGAAGAGGCCCCCTGGTGGTGGACGAGGGCCTGGATTCCGGGAGCACAGTACTCAGTCTCTGACCCTGCAGGAGGAGAAAATGAAGAAGGAACTACGGGTCAAGCTCGAGCTGGCCAAGTTTCTCCAGGACACCATTGAGGAGATGGCCTTGAAAAACAAGGCGGCCAAAGGCAGTGCCACCAAGGACTTCTCGGCGTTCTTCCAGAAGGTGCCTGCCCTGCTTCTGCCTGTGGAGGGTGGGGAGGGCGCGAGGGGGAAGGGGGCCTGGAGGGGAGGGGAAAGGGTGTAAGGGGAGGGCGGCCTGTGAGGAGGGCTGGCCGGAGCCTCTGGAGCTGGGACACTTGGGGAACACGGCTTTCCCTCCTCCCCTGTGTGGACAGGCGTCCGTCCAGCCCTGAGTACTGAGCCTGTGGGGTGGTCACTCAGGTCTGGCCCTGCTGAACGGTGTCATGCCCACCTGAGCCATGTCAGTGTTCAGTGTGGCTCTGGCTTTGCCCACCGTCCTGAGGGACGGGGTGAAGCAGCTGAGTGACCTGAGACACTGGACCGGGGCTTGCTAGGTGGTCAGAGCTGGTCCTTCTGCCAGGAAGGTCCCCGTGGTCCTCACCAGCCCCACACGGCTCGTTCTCCAGGCCTGGGTGAGGGACAGTGAGGCCTGGACTGAGGCAGGCCAGGTGGGGACCCAGAGGAGACAGCCCTCCAGCTCTGTGGGTGGGCAGAGTGAGTAGGCAAGGCCCCGAGGAAGTCCATGAGCAGAGGAGGAGGAGTTTATAGAACTTTCTAGAACTGGTTAGAAGTTGTGTCTGGAGTTACTGAACATAGGGTTGGCAGACTGCTCCTGGGGCATATGTGTCCGACCCTGGTGACCCGAGTGTTGTGGTACTGCAGGGTCAGGGGTCCGGGGGGGTACCACCAGGCCCTTCAAGGACAGTGTGCCGCCTGCTCTGACTAGACCCTGCCCACCAGGGGCAGCAGCATTTCAGGAGCACGTAGGGCCACGCTGTGGGGAGGTCACCAGAGGTCAGATGCGAGAGCTGGGCTTCCTGGTCCCGTGGGGGTGAATTGGGCAGTGAAGTGAGGGCAGAGGGGAGACTGTGCACTGAGGATAGGACTGAAGGTGGACCCAGTGCACTGGGGGGGCTGTGGAGGAGACAGCTGGGGGCCTGGGCGGAAGGCCCACGTAGGTGCCCTTCTGGTTCCACTCCTGGACGCTCAGGTCGGGGTGATAAGGGGCTTTGTCCCCAGGCAGCCATACTCCCTGGCACAGGGCTCCTGCGTGCTCCTCCATTACCACGTCCAGGTAGGGAGGGGGTGGTGGAGCCTGTGCCTAGCAGGGGTTCCCCTCTGAGAGGCAGCCCCGCTGACCTGGGCACAGGCTTAGTGTCAGAGTTTGCTGGGATCCCTGGAAAAAACCAGATGAAGGGGCAGATCTTAGACCACGCTGGGCTGGAGTGGTTCTGGATGAGGCTGTCCTGAATCCGATGGCAAGAGGACTGGCTGTGCCAGCGTGGTCCACAGGGTGCTGGGCGTTTGCGTGTGCGCACACATTTGTGTACATGTACGCACACACACACACACACACACACACACACACACACTCTCACTCACACGTGTGCAGGTGCGCACCGTCCAGTGGGGAACTCCGGGATTGCTTTGCAGATCCGAGAGACGGGAGAGAGACCAAGCAACGAGGAAATCTTGCGTTTCTCCAAGCTGTTTGAAGACGAGCTGACCCTGGACAACCTCACGCGGCCGCAGCTGGTGGCGCTGTGCAAGCTGCTGGAGCTGCAGTCCATCGGCACCAACAACTTCCTGCGTTTCCAGCTGACCATGCGCCTGCGCTCCATCAAAGCCGACGACAAGGTGGGTGCGGCCCGAGGGCGTCCTCTGGCCGGGAGAGCCCCACGAGGGCCGAGTCCGGAGGCCGGGCTGCGGGCAGTGTGCGCGTCGGCCCTCTGCTCCGCCAGCCTGGTGAGGGGTGTGTGTGCCTGTGCTTGTCTTAACCACATTCCCTGAGCTCCTTACTTGAAATGAGATCTCTCACGTCAGTAATAATCATGGGAAACATGAGGTAGAGAGCCCTGCTGGCCTGTCCCGGAGAGAACTGTGCTCTGACCCAGCGGCCGCGTGGCCCCAGCATCTCTGTGGGAGAAGGACGGGGAGTCTCCTCCCGGGCGAGGTACAGCCTGGGCATCCCTGACCAAGGAGGAGCAGCGAGCTGGAGCGGGCATCGCCCGAGGCGGCCGCGTGCTTTCTTCAGCCGTGAGTGCTCCACAGGGCTGCTGTGATTATCTTTTAATGTCAGTTCTTAGCCCAGCTCTGTGATCATTTCCTTAAAAATGGGGGAAAGAGGAGAAGTCGACAAGGTCTCGACACGCCTGGGGACCTGGTCCCAGCTGTCCGCCTGGCCTGGAGGGGTGACCACTCAGCGTGCTGTCTGAACACAAACCCTGGATGACTGGAGCTGTTGGGAGAAATGGGCACAAAGAGAGTGCCCACAGCAGAAAGTTCCCTCTGGCCGCTCAGAGGCCACGGGCAGACAGGTACTCGGGGGACTAAACCTTCTCGTGCCTTCCAGCTTGTGGTAGCCCCAGGCTTTCCTTGGTTTATAGGCGCTCCAGCCTCTGCCACCACGTGGCTGTCTTCACTCTGTGTCTGTCGTAAAGAGACTGGGGCCCACCCTCTTCTAGTGTGACCTCGTTATAACTATGTCTGCAGAAACCCTATTTCCAAATAGGACTCGGGGGTGGGGGGTGGAGACTCTTAACAGCTGGGAGTCTGTGTGCTTTTCTCAGAGGAATTAAGACAGGTTAGACGTGCATTCTAGAAGCATGTTAGAGCTGTGTGTTGGGCCTGGGGTCCTTTTTCTGTTTCTGGATCCCAGTGGCGGTAACATTTTTTATTAGCTGCCTCTTCAGTTTCGTTACCACCTTGTGTTTTTGTTTCCTCTCTCTCGTGAGTTGGGTAAAGGTTTGCAGACACGTCAGCTTTCCCCAGCAGCTCACACCCTTGGTGATCTGTGAGGCTGTGCCCGTTCCCACCAGGCAGCAGTACCATCCTCTTCCTCCCTGCGCCACCCCTGCCCAGTCCCTGCCTCTGACCTTTGCCCTGGGGTAGACACTGCCCTTTGGACTGGAGTGGTTGGTTGTTCCATGAAAACTTCCTTAATGGTGCTACCGACCTATTTTCTGATGACACGGTTTGAAACGGAGCGCCTGGGAAGAATACTAGCTGCTTCCCGGTCACATAGCTCCCGGGGAGGGCCTGCAGCAGGTGCCAGGACCACAGGTTGCCTCCTGGGGTGGGGTTTGGCCACACTGTGACCCTGCTGGAGGAAAGGCAGGCCGTTAGACCTGTCCGCTGTCACCTCGGAATCTGACGAGCACGCCCCACTCGGGCCCTGGACCCCACCGATCTCAAGGGCCTTTCTTTCTGTCATGTCAGGTCCGGGGGCCCGTCAGCAACCCCCTCCTCGAGGCCTCACACGCTCGCCCTGCAGGGGAAGTGTGCAGGTTGTCACAGTGCATGCTGTCAGCATGTTGCCTGCTGGATGTGCCCCCTGTGACCCCCGAGCCTTGGTGCCCGTTCAGGAACTGCTCCTTTCAGGAAGGAATGTCACAGATCGATAGTGTTGGCAAAGGAGAAACAGCTGGGCATCCTGGTGGTTCAGCACAAGACGGGCATGGCGACTAGGGCCTCCTGCGCTGGGGAAAGAGAGGGAGGCTGAGGGGGAGAAGGAGACTGGGCGGCACGTGAGACCCCTGGCAGATGCTGTGGGGAGCCGGCTTCTCTGCTGACCGAGCTGACCACCTGATACCACCTTCCGGAAGCCTCAGGGACATCAGTGGCACCGTGGCGTCACCTCCCAGCACAGGGTAACCACATGTGTGTCAGGGCAGAGCGGTGTCCACAGGCCTCTCGGCGGCGCAGGCTTGGATCCTGGGTAGATGCAGCCTGCCAGCTTCTGTTGGCAGCCACGCACGTGGGCAGCTTGTACCACTCGGGAACGTGACCTGTGGCACAGTGGTGTTGAATACCTTCGAGTGACAGCTGGTCCACGGCTGACCCTCCAGAGGTTTTCAGAGGCAGTAAGTCGTACAGAAGGGGAGTGCCCATTCCTCTCCCACGGAGCGACTGCTGGAGTCGAACCACGTGCCTTCGGGATGAAAGCTTCTTACCACTAGGCCGCCAGAGCTCCCTCTCTGGCACAGATTTTGATTAATTTTCTCTGCTCTCCCAGCGACAGAGTTGAAAGTGATGACAGTTAAGGTAGTTGCCCAGGTTCACATTGCTGGACACAGTTGGTCAAGCCCCCAGTGACCCCTCAGGCTTCCCCATACCGTCTCCTCCCATGCACTGTGACATTCAGCCAAATCCAAAAGATGGCAGGTTGGTTCAAGGCCACCAGCCCCTCTGGAAGTCAGATTAGGTGGTCTCCTTCTGTGAAGATTGTCAGCCATGGATACCCCCTGGGGGTCCCTCTGTGTGGTAGGGGTGCTGGCAGGCGGTAGCACAAGCTTTACTTTGGGGTTTGCCTTCCCACGAGATTATGCTTGAGTATCCAGAGTGAAGGGACCCTTCTGTCTGCCCCTTCTCTTTCTGCTGTCTGTGCCCAGTGGATTTATGTCTTATCTGTGAAGGGCTTTATCTTGGGTCTTTAGCTCCTATTGCAGAAGTCTACTGAGAATGACTTAACAGACAGAAGGTTATTCTTGCCCAGTTTAGGATGTTAGTCGTCCAGATTGAGAGTACCCTGAGCCCTGGGAGAAGGTCCTCGTGCCCTTTCGCATCTGTGGTCCCTTGGAGAGCTCAGCAGCAGTCTCTCTCGGGGTCCACACGTCTGAGGGCTGGACAGTGAATAAGGATGAGAGAAGAATTGATGCCTTCGAGCTGTAGTGCTGGAGAAGGGCACGGGACATCCCATGATGGCCAAGAGATCAGAGAGATAAGCCTTGGAGAAAGTGTACCTTGAGTGCTGCCTAGGGGCTGACTGCAGGCTGGGAAGGTGGAGAGTCAGCACAGGAGAGGAGGACTCTGAGTGTGTCAGGGATGAGGATGGCACAGGACAGGGCGGCTGGTCATCGGGCCGCTCTGGCTCGTCCTGGACTTGATGCACCTAACTTCAGCGGGGCTCCCAGTGCAGAGACCCTGGGTGTGAAGGCGTCCGCCGCTCCTGGAGCCTCTTGCTGGTACCGGCCGCCTCTGAGCTCGGCCTTTGTATCCAGTCTCTGAGGTCTCAAAGGATCCTGCCTAATACTGCCCTCTACCCTGGTCCTGCCTGGCTCGCTACCACCAGAGAGCCTGGGACTTAGCACTCTGATGCTGAGAATATCAGACCGCCCAGCGTTATGCGGGTAAACTCGTGAACATGTAACCCCAGTGGGCACTGACCCCCAGGGGATGCACAGCTGAGGTGTGGCCCCTCTGCTGTTGCAGTGGGCTGAGCCTGTGGCCGCCCCGTCTCCCCTTGCTCTTAGCTCAGTTTCCCTGATTTCTCTGGTGCCCCACCCCTCTCCCGGCTCCCCTACCCATCTCAGCTCACCCACCTCTCTCCTGGCACTACCCCCCCCATGTCCCCACCTCTCTCAGCTCACCCACCCCTCTCCTAGCGCCCCCACCCCTCTCCTGGTACCCCCACCCTCTCTGAGCTCAGCCATCCCTCTCCTGGTACCCCTACCCTGCCCCGGTGCTCCCACCCCTTGGGATGCCCTCTTATTCCTGGCACCCCCACCCTGCCCAAGGCAGCCATGAGGGTAGGCTTCCTAGAGCTGAGTCCTGGGCCACCACCTCGCCCACGTTGCCTAATGGTCAGTACCCCAGGATCTCATCTCTAACGTGGGGATCCCAGACAGACTTCTGCTGTTGGGAGAATGGTGTCGAGGTGCTGTCCCTGCTTCTCCTGGGAAATGTGGCTGGAAATCTCTGACATTGTCAGGCAGACCCCAGGAGTCTGAGATGAGGAGTGGAAGAGGGAGGCTGGCTGGAGACCCGAGCACTGAGGCACCACGGTGGAGACCTTCTCGAGTTTTCTTTTGGTCTCAAGGCTCTCTTACTTGGAGCTGAAGAAGTTAGCACCCAGAAATGCCAATTAGTGTGAGCAGAACACCCCAAGAAAGCCCCCTCTGTCCACCCAGGGCCAGGCCAGGGCCGCCCACCAGAGCAGGTAGCCTTCCAGTTCCCATGGTGGCTGCCCGGCGCTGCAGCAAAGGCCTCCATGTGCCCAGCCTGGACCCTGACCAGTACCACGGAGGAGGGAGCTGGGGCGTCCTTCTGTTCCACAGAGTCAGCTCTCCACACACAGTGTCCGAGGGGACCATGTAGGTACCTGACAGGGACTGGACACTCAGAGTCATGTCCCTGCCCCACCCTCACCCCCTAGTGTCAGTGAGAGCCATGTGGGGGGAAGCCAGGAGGGGACTGGGGGAATCAGAAGGACAGCCATGCCCCCCAGGATTGACAGAAGGCCTCCTTGAAATCTTGGGGTCTGAGCCAACAGGACAGCCCCAAGAAATCTGCACAGGGGCACGTGGCTGGCACCTTTGGAACGTTGAAGACGAAGAGACACCTCTGAGAACAGGGGAGACTCGAGGGGAGCTGCCTGTGACCTGGGGGTCCTGGGGGCTGAGAATGTGGCCCAGAGAGCTGTCAGTGAGGTCGCCCTGCCCTTCAGGAAGGAGGCCATCGAAGCGGTCATAGAGGGGGACCCAGGATGTTTCCCAGACCTGCCTCCAAAGGAGTGGGACTGTGGCCGACATTAGTCTAAACCTAAAGGAACCAAGACTAGAAGACCCTTGACCCTCGGATGGAGGGGACCGAGCGGCTGGCACAGGTACAGGGCACTGCAGGCTGCCGCCTCCCTCGGGAGCGGGATGCTGGCAGCAAGGATGACAATGCCAGCTAATGTGCTTCCCGGGCTCAGTGGAGGAAAATCGTGAGCGCGCGGTAGACAGATGGCACCCCAAAGGGAACCCTGCCCGCAGGCCAATGCCCACTCATTGACCCTGCCGGACAGGGAGGTTGTTGCTGCTGTTGTTGTGTGCCGTCGAGTCGGAACCGAACCACAGCTGACCCTCGGCAGATGTCTGGATGGAGATTGCCCATCTGTCTCCTGCAGGGCAGCTGGTGGATTCGAACCACGTGCCTTTGAGATTGTAGTGCAGCTTCTTGCCACCAGGCCACCAGCGTGACCTGGAAGTCTACTGTAGGTTTCTTGTAAATACATCTGTCACACTACTGTCACCAGCTCTGTGCAAGTTTACACGTGTTGACAGCACTGATGCTAATTAGCAGCCCCCAGAAGGGAAAGATTGTCAGGGTCTTTCCGAGGCCCCTCCGGGTGGCTTTGAACCTGCAGTCTTTCGGTTAACAGAGAGCTGCACCACTCTGGCTCCACACCATTGATGCACACTGGGTGAGTCTTCAGAGAATCATGTTGAATTAAATAAGCCAGGCCCAGAAAGTTACACACTGCAGGACTCCATTTAGAGTGGTTTTAAATCACGGAGAAATGTTGAACAGGGCCAAGTGGGGTGGGGGTGGGGGTGTCTGTAAGGGACATTGTGTGGACCTCTGGCAATGAGGACGAACTCTGTCTTGGCTCCGTCGATGTCTGTCCTGCCTGTCATCTTGACTTAGGGTTCCTTGGGGAACAAGGTGGGGTGTGATTTCTGGTTTCCTACAACTTGGAGTAAATTTCTGTGACATCAAAAACCAAAAGCTTACTTTAACAAGCTGCTGACCGCCCACCTGCCTCCTGAGGTTACGTAGCACTGAACCCCAGTGGCCCCAGGGGGTGATGTCTGTCTCCTTGGCCTTCGCCTCCTCCTGGCCGTCCCCTCTGCTCCACCTGCTCTGTCTGCGGGTCTGCTGTCCTCACTTACACGGGGTCCTTGGGCTGACGAGGTGGCCGCCCTTTGCCCTCCCTCCTTTGTCCGCCTTCTCTTGTGAACACAGAGCTGTATTTCCAGGAATGGGAGCAGAGTGGGGGGCCTGGGGCTGTTTTGATGGGGAGGACGTGCTGTGAGCTGGTCCAGGCAGTGGCTCTGACGTGTCCGTGTGTCCCTGTAACCCTTTCCCCGCCCTCAGACGGTCCCAGACCCAGCACTTTCTGTTTTCTTTGCTTCAGAGTGTGTTCTGGGAAAGCAGTTTCTAGTAGACTCTTGTTCCCTGGCTGTTACTATGAGCCCCCTGACCTTTAATGACCTCCCTGACACATCGAGGGGCCTTTGTCTTACAGCTGATTGCTGAGGAGGGGGTGAACAGCCTCACTGTCAAAGAGCTGCAGTCGGCATGCCGGGCCAGGGGCATGCGGGCGCTGGGCGTCACCGAGGAACGGCTCAAGGAACAGCTGAAGCAGGTACGTGGCCCAAGATGCTGCCGGGCACCCAGGAGAGGCCGCGGGCAGGGTGGCTCCTAAGTCTTGGCTGGGGATTGTCCCGAGCGCTGGTTTCCGGTTCTGCGCGCTGTCACCGTGGTTGTACCGCGCGCTCGCGTGCATTTAGCCACGTCTCACCCTGCATCCTCTTCTGGTTCTTCTGACGGTCACCGGAGGACTTGGGTTACTGTTGCTCAGGGCTCCTGGTGTTTAACTGAGGCCAGGGAAGGAGCCCTGGTGTCAGCGTGGGTTAAGGATGGGCTCCTGACTGGAAGGTCGGTGGTTTGAGTCCACCAGCCACGCTCGGAGAGATGAGCCAGTCGGTCTTGATGAAGACAGCTTGGCCTTGACACGCCACGGGCAGCCCCCTCTGTGCTGCGTGGTGGCTGAGAGTTGTCACGGTGGTGGATGTCCACTCTGCAGAGTCCGGTGCCCTCTATCTCCCACCGCCCACCTCCCCTTCCATCCCCTGCCCCCGGCCCAGCCAGAACAGTGTGAGAAGGTCTAAAGAAGTTAAGAGGCCTCGCAGTTGGTGCTAGGCTCTGGGGGCTAGCAGGGGCCAGACACGGTGGTCCGTCATGAGTGTGTCCTCAACTTAAACCACAGTGGCTGGACCTGCACCTGAACCAGGAGATCCCCACCTCGCTGCTGATCTTGTCGCGGGCTATGTACCTCCCGGACACCCTGTCCCCCGCTGACCAGCTCAAGTCCACTTTGCAGACCCTGCCAGAGATCGTGGTATGTGGCCCGTGGAAACACCCTTCTCTCTCGGGGGGTGGGGTGCTGATATGCCTGCCTCCCTCCCTCCCTCCCAGGGCTTCACCCCCCACCTCGCATGGCCTGGCTCGGCGAGCTCAGGCTGAGGTGTCCAGTGGCCCCTGTGCCGCCTGTCCTCTGTGCATGCAGACTCCTGTTCCTCGTGCAGAGCCTGGGGGGCCGCTGAGGCCAGGGGTGTGGGGTGAGCATGTATGTGTGCTTAAGCGTGGTGACCCCTCGCAGGCGAAGGAGGCTCAGATGAAGGTGGCCGAGGTGGAGGGTGAGCAGGTGGACAACAAGGCGAAGCTGGAGGCCACGCTGCAGGAGGAGGCGGCCATCCAGCGGGAGCATAAGGAGATGGAGCTGCAGAAGCTCACGGAGGCCGCGGTGAGGACACGGGGCTGAGGCACACTGGCTGCGGGGATGGGGGAGAGCGACCTTGTGCACTGGGTGTGGGGAGGGGAGAGTGCCCTTACGCACTGGGTGTGGAGGAGAGGTGAGAGTGCCCTTACACACTGGGTGTGGAGGAGAGGTGAGAGTGCCCTTACACACTGGGTGTGGAGGAGAGGTGAGAGTGCCCTTACACACTGGCTGCGGGAGGGGAGAGCGGCCTTGTGCACTGGGTGCGGGGAGGGGAGAGCGGCCTTGTGCACTGGGTGTGGAGGACGGGGAAGGGGGGAACGTCCTTATACACTGGCTGTGGGGGGGAGCGCCTTTACACACTGGGTGGGGGGAGGGAAGGGAGGGCCCTTGCACACTGGTAGGGTGTTAGAGGGGAGGTGTGATGAGGCCAGGTGGATATGTGCTACTCTATTGGGGGGCTGCTGTCAGAGGACATCTGCCCAGAGAAGAACACCGTGGGCCCTCTCAAGGCACAGGGCTTGGTGGTCTCTCCCTTGGTGCTAGTACCTGTCAGAGAGAGGGGCCCCTCCCACAGAGGGAGGTCACAGTGTCACCCCTCCTCTCCTCCTGGGGGCCACAGACTGGGCAGACACCCACTTCTAGGGTTCCTGCACATCTGAGTCTGTTGGCTCTTTCCATACGGACGGATGTACACACCATGCACTCATGTGCAAGTGACACAGGTCTGCGTCCACCTCGCACAGATGGGGGTACACGCATCCATGCCCTGGGCTCCCTTCTGGGGCAAGGAGGCCGCTGTGCTGCATATTTGGGCGGAGGGTGCTGAGCAATGTGCTGGGCTCTGGGGTGCGAGGAGGGGTAGACTGTGCCGCGTGGGGTAGGGGTGCTGACTGGGTTCTGGGGTGCGAGGAGGGGGTAGACTGTGCCGCGTGGGGTAGGGGTGCTGAGCTGGGTTCTGGGGTGCGGGGAGGGGTAGACTGTGCCGCGTGGGGTAGGGGTGCTGAGCTGGGTTCTGGGGTGCGGGGAGGGGTAGACTGTGCCGCGTGGGGTAGGGGTGCTGACTGGGTTCTGGGGTGCGAGGAGGGGGTAGCTGTGCCGCATGGGGTAGGGGTGCTGAGCTGGGTTCTGGGGTGCAGGCAGGGGTAGACTGTGCCGCGTGGGGTAGGGGTGCTGAGCGCTGTGTTGGATCCTGGGCGTTGGTTGGCTGCATCATGCGGGGGGTGGTGAACTTGTGCACTGCTTTGCAGAAAGACGTGGAGGCGGAGGTGGTGGCAGGTGTGCCCCCTGGTCAGGCCGTGGTGGAGCCGCAGCCCGCAGAGCCTGACATGATCTTACCAGAGGAGGTGCTGAAGGACACTGCCCCCGTGCTAGAAGGCACCAAGGTAAGGTGACCGTGTGTCACACGGGAAGAGGCTGGCGAGGACTGGTGGGGCAGGCTGGGCAGCTCCTGGGCGTTGGGCGCCATCATGGGCTTTGCATAACGGAGGGCATGGTCTGAGCAGGGACAGGTCACTGGGGCAGCGTGTCGTCGAGTGGTAGCTTGGGCCAGGCAGTCCCAGAAGAGGTAAGAAGGGACGTGCCGTGTGTTCTTCGAAGTGAGGCCAGCAGGATTTCCTGTGAGGTGGGATGTCCCGAGGGTCCAGGGTTTGGGCTTGAGAGATTGAAAGGAGAGGCTGCTGGAAGCAGGAGGGCCTGTCGGCCCAGAACCCTGAAGGCCTGCCGGCTGGAGCCACTCCTAGTACCTCCTTGCCCTGCCTCACCTGCCGTGTCGTGCTCTGGACACTGACGTGCTTGTTGGCTGGGCAGGAGCAGGAGCACGGAGCAGAGAAGAGGCAGGATGCAGCCTCCAGAAAGCAGCTTGCGATGTGGGGCTGTGAATCCTAGAGGCTCAGGGCATCGGGCTGAAGGCAGGAGACGTGGTGTAGTGACGGCGTGAAGAGCCAGGGCTGGAGCGTTCCTCTCGGAGACTGATGTCCTGGGGACAGGGTGGGGTCCCTGGTGCTGCTTACCTGGTGGAGGTCACACGCACAGTTGTTAACCCACTGGTGGCCCTGCAGCTCTCAGGCTGAGGTGACTTCGGAAGCTGGACACCGGGAGACAGACCTTACACAGGCTTGAGGCATTGTTATTGCCACAGCTGAGATGAAAGGTCAAGGTGTGTTGGTTAGGAGGACAGGACAGCAGGTGCCCAGGCACCCCTACGATCACACAGTGTCGGCTGGCCTGTCAGCTCTCCGGGACTGCGAGAAGTCCTGGGCGGTGTGGGGCTGGAGCCCCAGTGCAGCCTGACCTGGGGCCCCGTACAGCCTGACCTGGGGCCCCCGTGCAGCCTGACCTGGGGCCCCCGTGCAGCCTGGCCTGGGGCCCCCGTGCAACCTGGCCTGCGGCCCCCGTGCAGCCTGGCCTGCGGCCCCCGTGCAGCCTGGCCTGGGTGATGGTCACAGTGAGTGTGCTCTTGGCCACTCGAAGGTAGGGCCCCCAATTGGCAGCACTGGAATGGGGCTGCCTCTGGACAGTGTGGATCAAAACCTTCAATGTATAAAGCGAAAACTTTAAAACTCTCCAGAGCACAGAGCAGAATACCTTCTGAACTAAGATTCCAAAGGTCTCTTCTTCACCAAGCACAGACCTTAAGAAAATGGCAAGTAAGATTTTGGGGTCCTCAAACAGGAGGACACGAGAGGAACCTTGTCCTCCTCACCGAGGCAGCGCTGTCAGTGCTGACTTTCTCTGTGGTGGTGGGGTGTGTCTGTGAGGAGGGCCAGCACCGAGGCAGCAAATGTGGGTGCAGGCCTCCTACAGACAACTCAGGCCCCACATGACCCTAAATGAGCTCAGAGAGACCAAAGTGGGGAGGCCGGGGACACGGCCTGCAGGGTGACACGCCAGCCAGGACGTGACTGTGCTTTAAGAGGGGGGAGCTCTGGTGGCCTAGTGGCAAGAAGCTTTACTGCAATCCCAAAGGCTCATGGTTCGAATCCACCAGATGCTCTTCTGGAGAAGGAGGGCAGTCTCCTCCTGTGCCAATCACCCCTCATGCAATGATACACAATAACAACAGTGAGAGAGACAGCCCCTCGATCAGTGGGTTGACACAGTGACTGTGGCAGTGGGCTGGAGCCCTTGGGACATGGTGCAGGGCTCACGTCTTGTTCAGGGAGTCGGTGTGAAGGCTCCAGACTGGTGATGATTTCACAGTGTGTATGTGCCACTCACCAAGTGGGCATGTTAGAGCATGAGAACATGGTCTAACCCTGTGGGCCATGTGCGTCCCCTGTGCCCAGACCAGCAGTGTGTGACCCCTCAAGTGGTGGCCTGAGGCTCCGCTTTGACCGAGCGGGAGACGGGCCACCTCGCGCCTCTCACAGACCACTGTGTGCCCATCCCCAGGGGGAAGAGATCACCAAGGAGGAGATCGACGTCCTCAGCGATGCCTGCTCCAAGCTGACGGAGCAGAAGAAGTCCCTGGTCAAGGAGAAAGAGGAGCTGGAGCTGCTCAAGGAAGACGTCCAGGATTACAGCCAGGTGAGGGCCGGCCGGGGGCTTGGGGCCCCTCGAGTGCTGGCGCCCCAGCAGGGCAGGCTGGCTGAGACACTATCGAGTGCTGGCACCCTACCAGCACGTGTGGGCAGGCTGAGAGACCCTTGATTACTGGCACACAAGTAGGGCAGGTGGGCTGAGAGCATCAAGTGCTGGTGCCCCAGCAGGGTAGGGCATGTGGGCAGGCCGAGAGACCCTTGAGTGCTGGCACCCCAGTGGGGAGCAGGCTGAGAGGCCGTCAGATGGTGAACTGTGTTGATGGGGTTTCCTGTGGCTATCAGTGACTGGAATAATCGGGATGGGAGTGTCAGAGACAGTGCAATTGGCACAGGACAGAGCAGAGTTTAGGGCTGTTGTACATAGGGTCGTATGAGTCGCAAGCGACTTGACAGCACAGAACAACAAACAACATCCCATCCGGTCACCAGTGCCCCCTGAGTCAGTCTGTGTGTGGACCGCAGGCCTCACGCTCATGTCTGACTCATGAGTTAAACAGCAGCTCAGTTCTCGTCCAGAGAACGTCCTCCTAGCAGTGCCTCAGGACAAAGGCCTGGCGATCCACTCAGAGGGTCAGCCCCTGAGCGCCCTGCAGAGCCGCACCGCGCAGACTCACGCCGGGCACCGCGATGGCAGCTGGACTGCCCCCGGTCTCCTCACTGTCCGGTGAGCTCCGGCCGCTTCATGGAGCGGACCCTGTCCTCACTCCAATTTCCCCCTGAGACATCCTAACTCAGTTCTCTTTCAGTTGCTAGAAAAGAAAAACATTTTTCTCAGGTTTATAAATACTGCTCCAAGATTGATTGAAAAAATGTGACTTTTGCACTCTGTTGGGAAAAGGTTACCAATTTAGAGTTTGGAGATTAGTAAGAATTCCATGTCTTTGTCCTGGTTCCCTGAGCTGGTGCCGTGTCCACCCTGGTGTTTGCTGGTGTGATGGACTTGGAATTTAAGAAGGTGCTTGACTTGTGGATTCTTTGAGCGACTGACTTACTCTTTTCTTGTTGTTAATACACATTCAAGCACAGATACACTAATGTGACAGTCCTCCCTCTACTGTTCATTCAGTGACGTTGGTGACATCCTTCACAGCCCCTCACCGTCCTCAGTTGTTGCCCCAGGACTGACAAACCTTGACTAGAGCAAGGGCCACACGGGGACGGCCATGTGTGACCTTTACCAGAGGGCAGTTCCCATGAGGTCAGACTCCATGCTCCAGTACCGCTTTCCACTCCTCTCAACGCCAGTCTTTTTTTTTTTTTAATTTTTTAATTTTTATTTTTATTATTTGTATGTGTGCGTGTACCGTCAAATCAGATCTGACTGGTACAGGAGGAGATTGTCCCTCCTTCCCCGGCAGAGCATCTGGTGGATTTGAACCCTGCACCTCTGGGATTGCAGTGCACCTTCTTGCCACTAGGCCACCAGAACTCCCCTTCAATGCCAGTCTTGCTGCTTCAGTGGGTCCAAAATCCAGTCCAGTAGCCCACAGACCACACAGAGCCGTATTGAGGAAGGCAAAGGCTATAATCAAGGCTAGCAGCAGAATGCAGTCGGGACAGCTTCTGAAACGTGCTCACGGGCGCCGTGGGTCTTGTCTTCCCACGGTGGCCGCTGTGGCTCCTGTAAATCCTGCTCTGGCAGCCACAGGAGTCTGGCTCTGAAGGACATGCTGCCTTCTCTGCCGGATCCGCTCGATGTCATGGCGAGACTTGTCCCCTTGTGGATAGGTAACATGCCCCTTTCACATATTCCCGCCATCCACGTGGCAAAGTCAAGTTCCATGTCCAGGAAGGTTGTTTTGACCACCAAGCTCTCACCCCACACTCTGCCCCAAGCTTCTGTCTCGTCTTCTGAGTTGCTCTGTGGTCAGTGTGATCGCACCTTGATGGATCTTTGCTTGATTTGGTTTCTTTTACAAAGATAGTTCTTAAGAGGGGAACGCTCCTCTTAGTACCTATTTATTCTTTAACAAATAGGAATAAAATTGAGCAATGTTGGAGCTGGCCCAGTCAGATCAAATCTGTGTGATAAATACAGTTAGACTTGGCGGCGTTCCCTGGCTGGGCTGATGGGTTCCTGTTTACAGCCCATCCTCGAACTTCCGTCCGTAACGCTCGTTTGAATGGATTGAATCCATTCTATGAAAAACTTTAAGGCTCAGTTTTGTCTTTTTGCTTGCTTTTCTTTCTTTTTTTTTTTTTAAATAAGACAGCCTATTTAAAACAAAAATATCTTTTGCCAGGATTTGCAAGAGATCAAGAAAGAGCTCTCCAAGACTGGCGCAGACAAGTTAGTGGAGGAGTCTAAAGCCAGCCGAAGGCTGACCAAGAGGGTTCAGCAGATGATCGGGCAGATCGATGAGATGATCACCCAGCTGGAGACAGGGCAGGAGACCGGCAAGCTGAGCCCTGGCCAGGGTGCGCCCGCAGGGTGAGTGCGGCCCTGGAGGCCAAGGCGGGGAGCAGGGGGAGGATGCCCCTCAGAAGGGTGCATCTCGGGAACTCGGGCTCTGAGCACTGGGGCCCAGGCCCTTCTGACTCCAGCAGTCACAACTTAACCAGGCTGTCCAGTGGAACCCTGGTCACCTCTGAGTGTACCATCCACACCCAGTGGCCCCCTTATCAAGAGCTGCCCAGACTTCCTCTTCCTTGCGTCCTCTGCAGCCCCTGCTGCCACCAGCTCTTGTGAAGGGGAGCACTGCTCTGTGGCCTGTTGGGTGTCCCCACTCCTACCCTCAGCCCCACTGGTCAGGGGAGCACTGCTGTGGTTTCTGTGGTCTCCCTACACCCACTCTTATCTAACTCCTTTCCACGCTGCCGCCACAGAGTGAGTGAGTGAGTGTATGTATGTGAGAGAGAGAGATCATGACTGCCCGTCAGCCCCAAAGGCTCTGCCACTCTGCCCCTCTGCTCCAGCTTCGGCCACACTGGGCACCCTGTCCCTTCCCCTTGCATGAAGCTCACTCCCTCAGGAACGGCACCCCTCAGACCCCCTGGAGAATAGCTACTGGCCAATCGACTGGAAGAGTCCTGTATTTATTCCAATTCCACAAAAAAGGTAATCCAGCAGAATGTGGAAATTACTGAACAATATCATTAATGTCACATGCAAGCAAATCTTGCTAAATATTATCCAAAAACAGCTACAACAGTATATCAACAGAATGGCCAGAAATAAAAGACAGATTTAGAAGAGGTCATGACACTAAAGATATTCTTGCCAATGTCAGGTGGATTTTGGCTGAAAGCAGAGAATGCCAAAAGGGTTTCTGTCTGTGTTTTATCAACTATCCAAAGGCATTTGACTGTGGATCACAACAAACTGTGGCTGGCGTTGAGAATGGGAATCCCAGGACACCTGATTGTGTTCATGCACTGAAACCAAGAAACTGCTGTCTGGACAGAGCGAAGGGACAAAATCAGGAAGGGAGTGTGTCAGGGCTGTGTGCTTTCTCCATATCTTTTCAGTCTTTATGCTATGCAGATCATTTGAGAGGCTGGACTTTATGAGGAATATGTTATAGTACTGGTCAGTCCATTTGCCGTACAGAGGTAACTCGTGGTTGCTGTGAAGCTGAACGCTGTGACACTGATGTGTCACATGCGAGAATGGTTACCCATGGTGGACAGTGTTTGGTGAAGCTCCCCAATTAATTCAAGCTCAGAAGCAGGAGTGGCATCCACTTCTATCATACCTTGCCTCCGGAAACCCTATGAACTTGGAGAAATGATACCAGTGTTCAGGTCTTTCGTTCATAGGGTCGCTATGAGTCGTCTATGACTCGATGGCACTTAACAACAAACAATACGACATCAGGAATGGAGGAAGTCTTAGTAACAGCCCGCATTATGCAGATGACAACCTTGCTCGTCCAAAGTAAAGACCTGAAGCTCTTGCTGCAGAGGACGCAGCCCTCAGTATGGATTACGTCTCAGCATCAGGAGAACGCAGATCCTCAGTACTGGGCGGGCAGCAGCGTCATGATGGATGAAGGACGGAGGCTGTTAAAGACTTCATCTTGCTCGGATCCACAGCAAACACTCCTGGCACCAGCAGTCAGGAAATCAGAAGACGAGTTGACTGGGAAAATCTGCTGTCAGGGACCTTTCCAGAGCGCTCAGGAACAGTGATGCCAGTCTAGAGACTAAGGCACACCTCTTCCAGGCCTTGGTCTTCTCAGCTGCTTACTGTGTTTCTGGAAGTTGGACAGTGACGAAGGATGACAAAAAGAATCAACGTCTTTGAGTTGTGCCGGAAAGAATATTGAACATCCCATTAACTGCCAAGAGAACAAAACCAGTCTGTCCTGGAAAACGTGGCCCCAGAGTGCTCCCTGGAGGCGAGGATGGTGAAGCCCCATCTCACACTCCGGGCATGTTGTCAGGAGGGGAGGATTTGGGGAAGAACATTATGTTCGGAAGGATCAAGAGAAGAAAGGAAGACCTTGGACGAGATGGACTGACATGGTGACTGTGGCGATAAGGTCAGATCTGTTAGAGATGGTGAGGTTGGCTCAGTCAGGATAGAGCACGTGTTCAGAGCCGTTGTTTAGAGCTGTGAATCATTGTTGACTGGACAGACTAGAACAGCAGGGCTGTGTGTCCTCTCAGTCACCCCTCATGATAGCACCTCAGGGGCTGTGTGTCCTCTGTCTGAAGGTCACCCCTCGTGTCCTCTGGTCTGAAGGTCACCCGTCGTGATAGCACCTAGGGCTGTGTGTCCTCTTGTCCCCGAAGGTCAGGCTGTGTGTCCTCTTGTCCCTGAAGGCCACGCCTCATGATAGCACCTCAGGGGCTGTGTGTCTGTTCTGCTACCAGTTTATCCCAAACACCTTCAGGAGCACCCCCAGTGGTCTGTGGGGAGACACCTATGCTCAGAGCACACTTTCTGTGCTGCCCACTGGCCCAGGCCCTCTCCCTTCTGACCTCACACAGCTTCCCACCCCTGAGACGAGTGTGGGCAGGCCACCACAGCACCCCTGCTGGCCCCTGCTCACGGATTCCTTGCTCAACCCACACACGAGGCCAGTGTGGTGCTGCCCATCTCCTGCCCGTCCCTCCAGTCAACCTGGCACGCTGTCGTGGGTTCATCCCTTCAACCCCATGCAGCCTCAGGCAGGGTGTGCTCTGTAGGAGCTGGTCAGGTAGAGCTTTGCCCAGCTGCCCAGAAGGACAGGCCTGAGAGCTGCCAGGGGCTGGGAGACCCACCCAGTATGGCCACAGCTGCCTGTGCTCCCCCCACCAGGGTCCACCCATTGTGCCCACAGCAGCCTGTGTTTCCGCCCTTCTCCAGGGAGAACGTCATCAGTGTCAGCGAGCTCATCAGTGCCATGAAGCAGATTAAGAACATTCCAGAAAGCAAGCTGCTGAGCTTGGCCTCAGCGCTGGATGAGAACAAGGATGGCAGGATTGACATCAAGGACCTGGCCAAGGTGGGCTGCACTGCGCTGGGATCCTGCAGGTGGTGTGGTTGGGGTGTCAGGATCCTAGGCCCCCATCTTCCAGAGGGTTTTACGTGCATGAAGTGGTGCTCGGAGGGCAGACAGCGGTGAGGAGCATGGGCATGGCATACCAGGTGCTGACAGACAGCGGTGGGGAAGATGCGCATGGCATACCAGGCTGTGCTGGGTTCTGTGTGGCCGCCTGCGTGTGCTCACGGTGCAGATGTCCCATGAATGGTGCCCCAATGTTTGCACTGCCCACTTGCCTACTTGCCTGGCCCAGTCAGGACACAGGTGGCAACCGAAGCCTCAGTTGGGCAGGTAACCCCATTCCCAAGGCTCTCGGACCCTTGTCCTGTTAGTCATGGGGCAGCCTGGCCACAGGAGCCAGCTGTGCACAGCCGCTACCAGGGGAGTTACAGAGCAGGGTCAGCACAGTCTGTGCCAGGGACAGGGGGGAGGACCTCGAGCCCTCCAGCAGGGTGCGAGATGGCCAAGGTTCACACTCTGTCTCCTGCCAACCTAGCTGTAGTTCTTGTCCCTGAGGCCTTGCTCTCGGGAAGGATGAAGTCACCTGGGAGAGATGGGGTCTGCTCTGGGTATGGGGCAGTGCAGCACACTGAGTATAGGGAAGGGTCTCTGGGGAGGGGGCCTGCCTCCGGGAAGAGGGCCTGTCTCCGGGGAGGGGGCCTGCCTCCGGGGAGGGGGCCTGCCTCTGGGGAGGGGGCTTGCTTCTGGGGAGCGGGCCTCAGAGGAGCAGTTGGAAGGCAGACCTTGCCTGAGCCAGTCTTTGAACACAGGTGATCGAGCTGATTGACAAGGAGGACATCCACATCTCCACCAGCCAGGTGGCCGAGATCATGACAGTGTTGGAGAAGGAGGAAAAGGTGGAGGAGAAGGAGAAGGCCAAGGAGAAGGCCGAGAAGGAAGCTGCCGAGGTGAAGAACTAGGCTCTGCTCCTTCCCAGGCTGAAGCTCAGCCATGCTGTGACACCAGCAGCCGGGAGGCGGTTCCTAGTGGCAGATCTCTTCTTTTTTCTGGAATAAATCAGAAACTTCCGTAATCAGGTAAATTTTCCATCATTCCGTGAAGATTCCATCAGTCTGGACCTCTGCCCCCGGGAAGGAGCCTAGACTGGCCGAGGTGAGGTGGATGAGGTGCCGCAGGGACGTGACCACGTGGGGCAGGCAGGCAAGCGCTTCCCCAGGACACGTCTGAGGCAGATTCTAGAACAGCCGTCAGCTCTGAAGATCGGTAAACTAGTCGGTAGAGCTCGATTCAGAACCGGCTGTGACATCTGCTCCTCTGTGGCTTTCAGTCAGGCCTGTGCGAGAACAGGCACGTGTCCACTCAGCTCTCGGCGGCCACCTGATGGTGGTGCACGCACTCCTGAACATCGACTGTCTTTTCCCCGTGACCGTGGGGGTGGACGGACGGGACCCAGCTTGGCAGCCCCCCTTGGCCAAAGCTCACTCTCGCTTTCTGTGGTTTCTACTGAGGGGGACAGGGTGCTGGGCTGGACAGGCTCAGGGCCCTCAGCTCTGTTAGAACAGGTCGGCCACACTCCGAAGCAGCGTGATGTCACCGCGTCACGACATCCTGAGGGTGACGGGTTCAGAGCCCTGCACGCCGTGGGCAGTGCCAACCACAGGGCCGCGCTCAGTGGAGGGGCCCCAGGAGCACCCACACCTCCAGCTGTGTCCACTCAGCACCTTCAGGGCTGACACTGACATAGGAATTTGATAAGCATAGGAGTCAGGTGAACAAGACCCAGGTCTGCAGGGACAGGAGGTGAGGCGTCGGCGACCTGCACTGCCCTTGACAGCTTTTTTGGGTGCGTTCTCTGCGTAGGACTTTGAAGGAACTAGAAGAGGGTTTTGTACTTTGCTGACTGAATTGTTGTGATTGCTGGGTATTTATAAGTTATTGTGAACGCGCTATACTCGCCTGGTTCTCGTCTGTCAGATGTCCTTCCCCTCTGGAAAGAAGCCCCAGCAGGTGATGGTTCTGGGGAGCTCTCTCCTCGTTGGGGCGCACTCCACGGCCCGCTGTGCCATGACCACGTCCTCATCTCCGTCCTTGCCTTGGCCGGTTGCTTCTGTTTCTGCCTCTGCCATCCCTCTCCCGTCCCATCTCCTGCCCACCCAAAACCGTCACTGAGCAGACCACCTCCAGCCACCCCCGGATTGGTGGTCGGTGCCTTGGACAACCTCTGTGTCCCCCGTCCAGAACCCCACAGAGACTGCACGGCTTTCTGTCTCAATTAGAACATCAACATTGGCAGTTTCCGGCCAGCTCCCGTGTGTCCGTTTGCACCCATTTTCACTGTACCTGAATGTTCCCCCTGAAGTCTGCAGGAGTTGGGAGTTGTCTGAAATAGTGGCTGCATAAACGAGAGCTTTTGGAGGGGACCACCCCAGACCACCGCATGGTGCCCAAGCCTCGACCCTTCCGCTCTTCCTGTGGGAGGCTGAACTAGGGACTGAAAACAAAAACCTTCACTCCTCCTGGAGAAATGAAATGGAATCAAACAGCGACACGTGCCTCTCAGAGTCTTTGTGAATGCCAGAATCCAGATTTCAAACAAAAATGGTGCAGAGCATCATGTTAATTTTTTGCAAGTAACCCCTGGGCCAAAGGTTCTCGATGGCCCTGAAATTGACAGCACCTGGAACCTTGCGGGCCACATGGCTGTCAACCTTTCCTGACCCCCCAGTCTCCAGCTGCTGTCTGAGTCTGAGCCCCCACACCCTTTCTCAAGTGCCAGCTCAGTAGTTTCCTGAGCCAAAGGCCGGGAGAAGCCTTCTAGAAGAATCCAGGTGGTCGCCGGCTGGATGGGCTAGCTTCCTCAGTCCACCCGTCACATGCCCTGGCCATCCAGCGTCTTATGTGCTCACACCCCATGTGACCTGTCCCCCCTGTCCTGTGGCAGCCATGCGTGCAGAGCCTCTGACGGGGCCTGGCTGTCCACGCGCCGGGCACTCCTCAGTGCTACCTGAAGGGTGCTGATGATGGAATAAAGCGATGCCTTGATTACCTGTCTGCCGGCGGCTGCTGCTCTGGTTTTTGTTTGGGTTCAGGTGGCCCTGCTGCTGGCCAGGATCTCAGCAAGCTTAGGCTGCCCAGAGAGCACTCAGGTGTTGGGGGGGTTCTGGGGACACAGCCATCTGGCATCCCGATGGCCCACTGCCTGTGCTGAGGTTGGTGAGCAGACTGAGCTGGTGTTCCAGGTCTTTCTGCAGCCCAGTGGACTCCTGGAGGATCTAGATATTCCCTACCACTCATGCCTTCCTCCCACTTCAGTGCACTGGGAGTCCCATAATCTAGGCTGTGCCACCTGAGGACCCACTGTGTCTGATCCCACAGCCCTGAGGGTCTACAGGTGGAAAGACCCTGGGAGGGCCCCCTAACATCCATGGGCCTGGTCCATCTCCCTAGTCTTCCTGGCCCCCACCTGGCCCTTTGTCTCTCAGCCACTCCAATGGCCAGAAGTCACCGGGCTTCTCCCCATCTTAGGGTGTCCTCTCCCCTATAACCCATGGTCACTGTATATATGGTCACCTCATGACCTCACACCCTGCATGGACTCTGTGCAGCCCTGCCATCTGATCAACCCCCTCCTCTGCTCGCCTCTGTGAGCATGGTGACCTCACACTCGCCCACCTGACTGTCCTGTCCAGCAGGGAACGACAGCAGCTCGTCCCCATCCTTCCGTCAGTCCACCCCCTGACCTGCAGCAGGTCCTGCACACGGGATGGGGTGGAAGAGGTTCTTTGTGCAGGCCAGGGTGGATGAGAGCTATGAAGCCTCAGCTTGGCCTCCCAGCTGGCCCTGAGCTGCTTCCCACCATCCCAGCATCTGGGCCCATGAGTGCTGAGAACTGAGCAAAGGCCCTGCCCAGCACCCCAGTCCACTGAAGAGGTGCCCGCAGGCACAGGGCCCCTGTGAGCTGAGGAGGTCTGATGGCTTCCTGGGGCCTTTTCCTAATTGGTCTATTAAATACGATTCAAACATTGAACGGCACAGGGCCGGAGGAGGGGCAGTCCCAGGACTCCTGACCAGCACCTGAGCATCAGCGCAGACGAGAAGTGGTGGACGAGCTCAGTCCTGGGGGTTGAGAGCAGAATCTGTTAGTCGCTGAGGTGCTGCCTTTCAGAGGGCCAGCACTCCACATGCCAGGCCAGTAAGGGGCACGTCCTCAGGCTGAGGGTCATGCGTCCGGCTGTCCTAGTTTGGAGACGGCTCAGGAGACACGAGAACCCCCGGTGGCACACGTGGCTAACACGTCTGGCGGTGTCCACCTGCAGGTACCTGGGAGAGAAGGGCTTCCTGCGAAGCCGTGCAGTTCCCCGCTGGCCCACACGGGGGCGCCGTGTCCCAGGCAATGGCGGGGAGCCCACCTGGCAGGTGGCGGGGCGGTTCTGTATGGGAACGTGTCCTTCGTGACCGCCTTAGTCCAAATGGCTCCGAAAGGCATCCCCACCCACGCCCAGGCTGGCGGTGGCCATGGGTGCCGGACTCGGAGCTGGCTCCTAGTGGACGTGAGCGAGGGGGTCGCTCGGGACAAGGTTGCCCCTGATGGGAAGGTGAACGGTGACCAGAGGTGGACCTTGTCGAGAACATAGGGGGGGTGGGGTCGGGCCGCCCCTGAAAACGCGGGGAGGATTCTAAAGGCCACCAGGGGCCGGAAACAGGAATGAAGACGAGTCCCTGCGCCCCCGCTCCGGCCAGGAGTCTAGCGAGGGCAGGGCAGGCAGGTGGCGTGAGAAGGCGTGCCCACTAAACTCCGTGTGCCAACCTGGGCCCAGGGTGCCAGGAGATGCCAGGGCCCTCGGAGGAGCGTGCAGGTGAGGGGCGTGGGGACCTCCGACCCTCCCAGCGATCCAGCCCGTTTGCGAGTGACGCTGAAACCCACGGGACTGGGAAGGGCGTGGCTGAGGCTACTGGAGAGCTGGCGAATGGGAGCTTCAGGCTGCCGGCGAGGGGGCGGGACTACAGGAGAACTGGCGTATAGGATCCCCTGGGCTTTGGAGAAGGCGGGGCTACAGCTGGTGAATGGGAGCTTCTGGGCTTTTTTTTGAAGGGGCGGGGCTACAGAGAAGCTGGCGAATGGCAGCTTCCAGGCTCTCGGCGAAGGGGCGGAGCCACAGGAGACAGGGGCGGGGCACAGGAGTGTGGGCATGTAAGTTTTCAGGTGCCAGGTAAAGGGGCGTGGCCACTGGGGTGGACCTGGTTTGCCCTCGGAACGCAGTGCCCACCCAGCCTGCCCCACACCGCCCCGCTGGAGCCAGTCCTTTTCTGTGGGTTGGAAGGCCGCCCCTTGCCCTGGCTCCTTTCAGTCCACTGCCCCACGTTGTCCCCCGGCCCAGCATTAAGTGGTGCCCGCGATCTGCCTTTGGGGGGACACAGAACTGCGCTGCTCTGGGAAGGGGATACATTCCCCATGAAACGGCACGCGCCCTGACAAGGCCCACGTTACGGCCTGGGGCCTGGGCACAGAAGCACCAGATCCAAGGTGTACGGTCATTGCAGAAAGGCCAAGCCCGCGGGCTGGGGTCAGAACTGCATGGACTCCAGAGGCGATGCATTTCCCAGCAGAGTGGAAAGCTTCCTGGACTTACTCCACTTACGTGGATGTATGTAGCTGTGTCAAGCTTCCCCCCGCCCCCATGCTAGTGCAGTCTTCGTGGTTTCTGAGATTTTAACTACCTAACTGGGATCTGTTGCTAGTCACCTTAGCACCACAAAGGGCCAGCGTGTGGCAGGAGAGGCCTCTGGGTGTGGGGGGGGGGGACTGGAGGACAGCAGTAAGTGCTTTATTTTACTGGCCAGTCCACAGGGAACTCGGGCAACCCACCAGGGACATAGCTGGACACCTGCCTCCTGCAGGATAGAAGGGTGATGGGTGAAGAGCCGGACCTCAGAACCTGCTAGGATAGTTTGACATCGGCCAATGCCCCCAGTGCCCACGAGGGGGTGCTGCTTGTCCAGGCTTTGTCCTCCTGGGCCACGTTTGGGATACTAGGGCGCTCTGTTGGCCTAGTGGTAAGATATTGGTCCACAATGCCTAGGGCAACTGTGGATAATCACCTCCCGTTTGATTTACTGCCTCTGAAAATTCACCAGAGGGTCAGCTTAAGGACACAAGTATCCATGGCTAGCACAAGCTCTGGTCCCCCAGTCTCACTGTCCCCTCTCACAGGCATCTGGGAATCCCGTATTTCCTGCCCTCCGAAGTCCCACAGACACAGAAACAAAAGCACTGGGGTCTCAAGCTCATCACACTGGAACACCCTCCCCCAAGTTGTCCTGGGGACATGGCCTCTCCTGTGTTGGGCAGCTGGTCCCCTCTGTGCCTCCAGGCCCAAGACTACCTTCCTCTGGGACCTCAGAAAACCACCGTTCACTCCACTCCAGGGACCGACCCTCCCTGGGGGACAAACAATACACTGCATCCAGAAGGCAAGAAAGTAACCTGTCTTTAATTTTCTTTTTTGGAGGGTATACCTGCCAGGTTAACAAAAGCAGCCTGCCGCTTTGGGCCGAGACCTTTGGCCACAAATTGGCTGGGCCCTGATATCCAGGCACTGCCCTGGGCACCTGCCCTGTGTGGTGTCCACAAGCACAGGACAGCCACCCAAGACTTGAGACCCATGAACAGTACAAAAAAAAGTCACAAAACAGTATTCATGAATTTCGGTCCCAAGCTTTGAAAGGTAGCAGCCCAGGCTATAAACGTCTAAAGCATTGCGTAAGAAGTGTTAAGTCTACGGCAAATACATCTTGTAAAAACTCAATAAATTATATATATAAACTTGTAACATCTAATAACATCTGAAGCCGTGTGCAGGCCCAGCCTCTGGCTCGAAGCGCCACACTCCGAAGGCGGCAAACAGAACCTGCATGAAAATCCCCACTCGTCTTGAAGTCCAAAATAACGCATCTAGAAAAAAGTCCTGGGGCTGAAATTCCCCCACAAAGAAAAGGGATTCCTCCCAGAATCACCTCGAACAAAAGGATCTTTCAGGCTGTGAGGGGCTGGCTTTGGCCTGGGGGACAGGCAGGCCTGGGGTCCCTGTGCCCCTCGCCCCACGTGCACATTCTTGCAATCCCTGTAAATGTGGCATAAACTTTCTCAGCTGTTAATAAGTTAAAACTTTTAAACTCTCTGCCATTTGGCTGGCTAAAGGCTACAAACATGGCGGGGACGAGGACTCGAGGGTTGATAAATTAACTTTACAAATATACAGTCCAGGTACAATTTTTAAAACAAAACTGTGTTAGCAGATCATTGCTTCCCTTGTGTCTGCCTTGCCCCCCACGGGGCCTTGCCCCCCAGGTCACCTCTCCCACATCCCCAGGACCTTGGGCTTCAGTTGTACCAGCCTTAGCTTCTTCCATATGGACATTTATATATATATCTGTATGTATATATCTCATATACACGGCGCTTATTTATAGAAATATACACTTGTTTCTGGAATAAACCTTTCAGATAGAAGTAAAGGCTGTCCTGCCTTCAGGTACCCGTAATCTCAGTCTCCAGGGGACAGGGTGAAGTGGGAGAGCCTGGAGGACAGGGGGCCTGCCTACTGACACCCCACCCCCCTCCCCGGTGCACGGTGCCACTCCGCAGGCCTCTCAGGGGCTACCTGGCAGGCTCAGCTTTGGGCATCGCCAGGGCTGAGGCCCAAGACAGGCCTGCGTGTGTCCCCTGGGATGGCGGTGGGTGGGGGGCCAGCAAAGAGCAGTCTGGCCCAGCTCCCCACCCCAGGGGGCTCCACAGGGAGCCCCCTTACATTCTACATTTGGTCCCCCTGGAAGGAAGGCCCCTAGGTGCAACAGGCACAGATGGCACAGAGCTAAGGCTCTTGTACAGCAGCGTGGGGACCCCACACCCGAAGGCTGCAGGACACTCCATCACACACACACACACACACACACACACACACACACACACACAAAGGTTCTTTCTCTCTGTCCGTCCATCCTAACTGGGGCCCGGGGGGTCAGTGGGCCCCAGTAGTCGACTGCACAGTGCAGTGGCGAGAGCCAGAGGCCCAGGTCTCACACTGGTGGGGGGCTCCGCCGGGTGGCCCTTCACGTTCGCGGGGTCCCGCTGCTGGGCGGTGCAGGCAGCAGCAGGTCGTGGGCAAACACGGAGTCATCACCCGATGAGCCAGAGCTGGGCGTGTCTTGGCCACCAGGTGAGTACTGTTCGAAGGGCACTGACAAGTCCAAGTACTCCTGTGTGGGCGGGAGTGAGGGTCAGCACTGCAGCCCAGGCCCCCATTCCCACCACTCCCTGGACTGAGGGGACGTGCCCTGTGACCTGAGCCAGCACGGAGCCTGGGGTCTGCACTTACGTCGGTGGACGTCACTGTCAGCACTCGGTCCAGGTCCTCCACCAGCTGCTTGAAGGTGGGCCGCTGGGAGGGCACCGCATGCCAACACTCCCTCATGATCATATATCTGGGGGGGGACAGGCACTCAGGCACCCACACCCAGCCCGCAGGCCAGTGTTCCCCCATCACTCCGGGGAGTGGGGCTACCCGCACCCAGCCCTGGGGGGAGACAGGCAGCTGCTACATCCACGTCCCCCATCACTCAGGAGAGACAGCTGCCCGCACCCTGCCCCGGCCCACCCAGGCCCGTGTCTCCACCATTACTCAGGAAACCCGGAGTGCCCCAGCCCACCCGGGCCCCAGGGGGAGAGTGCCTGGGCCCCAGCGGAGAGACACAGCTGGAACATCCCTACCCTACCCCAGCCCACCCAGGCCCATGCCTTCACCATCACACAGGAGACCCGGGCCACCCACACCCAGCTAGGGCCCACCCGAGCCCTGGGGGAAAGGAACAGCTGGGTGACCTGCACTGTACTCCAGCCCACTGAGACCTGCGTCCCCACCATCACTCAGGAGAGTAGGGTCACCCACATCCTGCCCCAGTCCGCTCAGGCCCTGGGAGAGAAGAACAGCCGGGCCACCCACACCTTGCCCCTGCCCACCCAAGCCCAGGGAGAGGGACAGGGCACTTACAGATCGTGCGTGCAGTTGGCCGGCTTATCCATGCGGTGGCCTTCCTTAAGCAGCTTGAAGAGTTCCTCCACAGGAATGCCGGGGTACGGCGAGCCCCCCAGTGTGAAGATCTCCCACAGCAGGACACCAAAGGACCAGCTGTTGGGGGGGGGCAGGTCAGTGAGTCCGGTCCAGCAGCCCCACCCTGGGGACCCGGGGACCAACAAGGGCAAGCCAGGGCTGAGGATGGACAGACTTGGCGTACACAGTACGGCTGGGACGCAGGCCTGCGGGCTGGGTGTGGGGTGGCTGAGTGCCCCCTCCCTGCAGGTAGAGTCTCACCCCAGATTCCAGCCCACAGATTGCCCCCTTAACCGCCCCCACCCACGAGGCAAACATACACATCACTCTGGTGTGTGTAGACTCGGTCAAAGAGGGCCTCGGGCGCCATCCACTTCACAGGCAGCCGGCCCTGGGGAGAAAGAGGGGAGGGCATTCAGACCAGCTCCCCTGAAGGCCCCTGGGCCCACCTGCCCGGGCACCCTTGCCCCCCACTGCCCCGCCTGAGCTGGGCTCACATTGGTGGTCTTCTTGTAGTAGTCCAAGTTGTGTACATCTCTGGCCAGGCCAAAGTCAGCAATCTTCATCACGTTGTCCTCTGTCACTAGCACATTCCGGGCGGCCAGGTCCCGGTGGATGCACTGGGCAAGGGGACCACAGGCTAAGGATGGACCCCACTCAGCCCAGCGCTGCCTGCACTGGGTCCCCCACAGTCCAGACCACCTGCCTACCCCACCCCAGGCAACCTATTCTGGCTCCCAACCCTGCTGTCACCTCAGGGGAACCTCTGCCCGTCCTCACCTTCTGGGAGGCCAGGTACTCCATGCCCCGGGCCACCTGGTAGGCACAGGACACCAGGTCCTTGAAAGTCAGCTGCTCCTCGGGCAGCTTGCAAGTGTCGAAGGAGTAGTCCATGCCCGGGGGCCGCCGCGCCCGCAAGTACTCTCGCAGGTTGCCCTTGGCCGCGTACTCCACCAACACGTACAAGGGCCCTGCAAAGTCCAGGGTCAGGGTCCAGGAAACAGGCCTGGCCACCCCAACCCACTAGGCCTGTGGAGACCATCAGCTGCAGGCCCCCCCACGTGACAGCAACTGCCACCTATCACCGGTCCACCCGCTACCACCTTGAAGACAGCCCCTGCTTCCCGTCCCTTTCCAACCAGGACGTGCCCCTTCATGCAGCCCCAGCAACATGGCCTCGGACCCCAGCTACCTCTTCTCAGTGCCAGGCCACACCTACCATCTCAGTCCCAGTCACCTCTCCCCACAGCCCAAATTACCGCCTCTCTTCTCCCACCTCTCCCCTACTACCTCTCTCTTCCCATCATCTAACCCCAACATCCCTCCTCCCGCTCTTTCACTTCCACCCCGCACCTACCACCTGTCTGGTCCCCAGTGCCCACTTCTTCCCTCACCTACCACTTCTCCCACCGTGACTCCCTCCTTCAGCCCCCACCCTGCTCACCCCACTCCCACCTACCACCCTACATGCAGACCCCCCAGTGCCCACTCCTCCCCTCACCTACCACCCAGTGCCCGCTCCTCCCCTCACCTACCACCCAGTGCCCGCTCCCCCTCACCTACTGCCCAGTGCCCGCTCCCCCCTCACCTACCGCCCAGTGCCCGCTCCTCCCCTCACCTACCGCCCAGTGCCCGCTCCCCCCTCACCTACCGCCCAGT